TGCAGTGAGAGTATTAGTGATGCCATGTTCATTTATATCTTTGTTTTCATTTTCTAGTCTGTAAATTTGCAGCTTATTTATTAATCCTGGATGTGGGTGTTTAAGAGTCAAGAAACACTTGTCCAGTCTTCCTCTTGCCCCTGGTTCTCATCTTCCTCACTGGCACAGCAGCCTATTAGGAAAACATTGCTACAGGACGCACACACAATTTTAATGAAACAATTAATTCGCATAAATTAAGGAATGTGAATACAAATGAGCTCTGACTGTTTCACAGTGTTAGAAACCATATTCGTTTAAGAAATTTCTGATTGTTGTTTACGATGTATAAAGTCAAAGTGTTGAGCTGCAGGAAAAACTAACAGCGACAATATTAATGTGGATCAGAGTAGTGTAGCCAACTTTGAGCATTAAAACAGATGTATAAAGTGTATCTATCAGGGAAAAACCTTTCTGGATGAGAATATTTTCTAGAGTTGTGAAAGGTTAGTTCTATTTAATGTTTACATTCCTATAATTAATTTTAACTTCTCCTCAATGTTAAAGACGATTTAAATTGCTTGGTTTGAGTACAGCCTCAGCATATAGCTAATAGATGCCTCTATTTGCTCAGTTTCACTTCAAATGGATAATTTGGTGAAACATTTTATTCTTATTGGGGTCACAGGCCTTACAGCACTATGACACTATAGGACATCACAGTAGTTATTATCAGTAAATATCCTGGTCTCTAACAAAGTACAGAGTCTATGCTCAGACAATTATCTGCAATTCTTTTTAGCTAATTGCACCAGAACAAGTTCACAATCAGTCCTATGCTGATGACCATGTCAATTACATCCAATTATCTTCAAACTGAAGGAGATGCAGCACAGGATTAGCTTGGTGCTTATGAAGATAGAACAAATAGAACGGTTGTAGAGGAAAACAAAAGATTCCCAACAACACTCTCTGTGTGCCAGACAGGCTGAGATCCTGATGAAAGACCAAAGAGAAAAAAACATCCATCAATGGCACTGGAACAGTAAACAAGAGTAAAAAAATAAGAGAAATTCAGGTGATGTGCAGGTACATTGAATTGCTTGAAGAAATAGTCAGTGATGATAAAAGAAAAGATGCACAGAGGAGGGTTGATGGGATGAATAATGTGCGACAGTTAAAAAAACCTACAGAGACTCATTAGACTTCCTGTGTTAAATCATTACTAATCAAGGTTTTTGATTGTACAAACTGTTCATTAAAGTATTAGAATTATTTTGCAATC